AATGTATCTAAGATATGTACATACCTACACATTACAGAGTAAACAAATGAAATAATTAGGAGCCAGATTTAATCCTGAGTCAGCACAATTAAAGTTTCACAGTTTCTTACATTTACGGCACAAAAACCAAAAGATTTCCCAACTTAACTCAGAGTGTGAACTCCCTCTCTGTAATCGAGCTGGGTCGTGAACTCAGTTACTTCATTTTGCCAAATTACTCCAGGTCTAAACTGACTCCCCCGTGAGGTTAGGTGTTTTAAGATGTTTAAGTTTAAACTGAATGTGTTAGTCTACTGTTAGAGTTCACCATTAAATATAAATGTAGAAACAAGTCACACAAATGTTCTGATTCAACACTGCTGCAGAATTCACCTCTAAGTGCTTTATATTTAATTCAGCTGCTGGCCCTTCACTCATCTTAAACATCGATTGACTAATTAACTTACACCTTTGGTATAAAAACTATGGACGGAACCACAGGGCACTTCACCCTTTGGTTTGTAAAATCCTTTTATCCTCTTTTCTGACGCTAATAATGATTATTATTTATTATTTATAAAATGCACTTAATGTTTTACTCAGTATGACCAAAAACTAGGTCATAAATTCAGCAAAATATTATAGTCGCCCCCTGCTGGCCATTGAAAAGAATGCAGGTTTTTGTGTCGACTTTGCTTTTCAGGCTTCAAAGCTGGGCCCATCTACACCAAGGTCCAGCTATTCCAGATTAGCCAGAGACTGTGAGGTGTTGGCAAGTTAATATTAACTCCATTAGAACCCCAACATCATTGCATCAAAACACTTTTTCTAAGTTACTAATTGTAACCACTAGATTTCTATTTTTAATTTTTATTATACATTCCAACTTTGACTACTCCCTGATTTGGGACCTCCTGCCCTTCTTGAACATAAAAGGAAAGCCTGACATGGATACAGCAGCATTAAGAGCCAGATGCAACATCAATTGAACCATACAAGAGATTAAAAAGCAGAGCTAGGCTTATTGTGGTTTGCAAAGCAGCTTGCAGCTACTGTGCTAAAGCTAAATACCCTAAATACTATTTCAGATTAATAGTTGGATGTGACCTTGCGCTGACATCATGGCCTGCCATAGCTAACGGTAGGGTTAATCAATGTTAAAATCCATTGCTATTTTACTGCATTTTCCCTTCTTGAAGGTTGGTGATCATAATGTGACTTTCAGTTTCATCTGAGCCAAAATATTAATAAAAAATTCCCCTCTCTGGAATGCAGAACACAGATTAGTCCTTAAACCCTCCAGTCTGCACCTTTAATTTTAACTGAAGCTATTCTATATTATATTTTAACATTATCACTGGAGGTAAATGTCCTTTCGAGACACCCTGTGCTATGTTTTTTGTGTACACCCTGAATACTTGTTACTGCATCCATGGATAAAGCAGTTTCTCCCATTGACTCGCACAACAGGCTATATTTCCGACTCTGATGGTACATTTCTATTCTTGAGCTCCAAGATTTGCTCTTCAGTCCCTATGATGGACGTCTGAGTATCCGTGCCCAGTCCCGAGTCATCTTGCGACTGAAATGTCGTAAAGGATGAAGGCGTTTCCTCTTTGGCGACGGTGGTGCGACTCGACCTATTTCGACGCAGTGACTTCAGCAGCAGGGGGCGTTGAAGGGATTGCTTGGGGGCAGCCCTGAACTGCACGGTGGACTGATTTTTATGCGCGATGGTAAGGTGACACCGCAGAACCTGCATGAATACGTCCCTGAACTGCCGCGAGGAGAGGTTGTAGAGGAAAGGGTTGAGGACAGAGCTGAGGTAGAAGAAGGTGTCGGCCACGGGGTGGAGGATGACGTAGCTCCGGAAGTAGGTAATGGTCCAGTTGGACTTGGGCATAGCGGCCATCATAAGACGGCGAATCTGGTTGGGAAGCCAGCATACCATCAAGGATCCAACAATGAGAACTAAAGAAAAATACAAAAAGAATAAATATGAGAGAAGTGATGACTTTTTAAAAACACTATTGTGTCTTTCAATGTCATATAATAATTTTAAAAAGACAGGAAACAAGACAAAACATTTAATATGCTACATGTTTGTTAAAAAGAAAATATGTTTAATCAGACTTACTCAAAGGAAGGGTGATGAGCTAAAACACCACCTTTATTCTTTAAACAGCTATATTCTTGATATTTTGACTTTATTCATAACAGTTTTTCACCTTTTATTCCTAAAAAAGTATTTCAACTTTACCCTTGAAATTAGGGCTGGGCCATGTAATACCGGTATAATGTTG